CACCTCCAGCCGCTGCGCGGGGTCGTCCTCCCCCAGGCCCCCCTTGCGGCGAGGCAGCTCCATGGAGGCCGCCTTGGCCAGCACCCGGCGGGGCTCCCGGCCCGGCTCAGCCCCATCCTCGGTCCCCGGGGCCCGGCTGAGCAGGGCACCATCGGCGGAACTGCCTCGCTTCAGCTCGCCACGCTGGGCTGCCCTGCGGGTGCTTTCTGGGGACTCCAGGCTGGAGCCTTTTCTCACAGCTTTGCGGGGATGCTCCGGACGCTTCTGGGCCTCAGGGGCTTCCTCATCAGAAGATCCGGGGGCCTCTGCCTCTGCACAGGGCCGCCGTGGCAAAGCAGCCCTTGGCCTCTTCCCCAGGGCCACCGCTGGTCTGCCTGCTCCTTCACTCTGCCACTCCATGGCAGACACATCCCCCTGCACGGCCACCTCCTCCCTCAGTCCCTCGGCTGGCCCCATGGTCTCGTCATCCGTGGGGATCTCATTGAGCGACATGCGGGAGCCGGAGAACTCCACCTGGTGTGGCATGGGGATGAAGGGCAGCTCATCCAAGTCATCCGAGTCCGAGGAGGATGACAGAGCTGGGGACTCCTTGAGGTGCCGGGGCACTGCGATGGACAGGTGGTTGGATGTGTCCTCCAGCAGCTCAGGGATGGGCCGCAGCACCATGTTGCACTTGTAGCTGATCTGCGAGCGCTGCACAGAGCCGGGAGGGATACATCAGGCCCAGGCAGACAGCCCAGCACGATAAAGCCCAGCACCCTCCGCAGCACCCTATTGAGTCAGACCCACGGCACAGCCCGAGCCAGCACCCCTCCTCACCATACCCACCTCGTGGCCCTGCCCTTGCCCTCGTCCCGCCTTTACCTGCCATTTCCGACGGGAGAGGAAGAGCTTTAGGTGGTCGGTGCTGATAACTTTCCCCTTGGCCAGTGTCTGCAAGCGGAGAGGAGAGTATCATGGCACAGACCCTGCAGATGCCTCAGAGGAACCCCAGTACCTCCAGGTCTCCGCCAGGCTCACCTTGAACCAGGGGTGCTCCAGGGTCTGCTCTGCAGTGGGTCTCCTGTAAACCAACATTGCTGGGTAAGAAACTAGGGGATTTAGGCCAGCCAGGGGGAGGGTAGAAGGGTACAGGAGGCAGGTGTCCATGCTACAAGTCCTATCCCCAGCAGGCTGATCCATGTACACAGCTCTCCATGTTTCTGCCCTCAAGCACCCCAGAAATATGTGGGCTGCCACTCTCTTCTAAGCATAAGAGTCATGACATAGAAGAAACAACGTGGATGGGGGGAACAACACCCTGAGCCAGGGCATGAGCTGCATCCAGCTACCCTTGCAGCCCAGCTGGACCTATCAGAGCCTTGACAAGCCCAGACACCCATCACTGCCCCGGAATATGGTCCTGGGGTGTCCACATGTGCAGCCAACCTCTACCTGCCCAACTCCATGCCAGCCACTCCTCCACTCCAGCCCTTCCCACCTGCCGCACACTCCCCATCCTGGAACCCACTGTCCACGTAGCCAATACCATGAGCACTTGGGAGGGGACAGGGGTCCCTGCATCACTCACAGCCTGTCGTTGACCAGCACTTTGATGACAAAGCCCTTGGCTTCCCGTGTGAGCCCCTGGAACATCCTCTCCTCAAAGGCCACGTTGTAATTGCGGATGTTCATCAGCGTGGTCTTGTCGTTCTCGCCCACAAAAGGGGAGATGCCCGTGAGGCTGCCAAGGGAGGGAACATGTCATCAAGCCATGGGGATATGGGGCACAGTGTGACAAGTCCTGATATGCTGGGAACCAAGAGAAGGACCCTCGATCCAGCCCTAGTGCCACGAAGGAGACCAAGCCAAGCCAGCCTGCAGAGGCTGGGGAGGAGGCTGAATTTGCAGAGATGCGTTTGTGACCCAGACCCCAGCACTGAAACTGCTACTGGGGCAGAAAGGAGGATGCTCCTGTGGCTCCCAAGGGCACGACAAAGCACTTACCACAGGTAGGCGATGACTCCCACTGGCCTGTGGAGAGGAGAGCACAGTTACTGCATGGCACCTTCCCAGACTTTGGCTCCCCAGCAGCCCAATGGGCACCCCAAGCCTCCCGAGGACCTCTCTGGTGCATCCTGCCCTGTCCCGACCACAGCAGGGAGACCTGTGCCAGGGGCCACCCTTGCACCAGGGCTGCTCTTACCAGACGTCGGTGACGCTGGAGATGGGGCTCTGGTTGACGATCTCGGGACCCACAAACTCGGGGGTGCCGTACTTGCAGTACTGCGGCTCGTCGGGTGTCAGCTCCTGCGCGTTGCCGAAGTCGCAGATCCGGACTTGCTCACTGCTCGAATCCGCCATCAGGAGGTTTTCTGGCTACAGGACAGTGCGGGCAGACGGGAGCTTGGCAGGAAGCTCTCCTGCCAGGGGACAGGCCGGGCTGGCACTGCCCGCAGGGAAGACCAAAGGGCATGGGGCAGCAGACAAAAGAAGGGCTGTTCCCTAGGGATCAGCTTTCCCAGGAAGGGCCCAGGGTCAGTGAGAAGAAGGAATGTCCCCCGTGAACAGGACCTGAGCCTGCCCTCCAGCCTGGCAGAGCTGTGTGCCCATGTGTGCCAGGGCAGGGAGACATGGAACAGAACAGGGCCAGGAGAGCCCTGCACTCACTTTGATGTCCAGGTGCAGGACTTTTTGCTGATGCAGGTAGCAGATCCCCTCCAAGACCTGCCGCATGTAGGACCGGACCTGTGAGAGACAGAAGGGGTTGGGGTCACTGGCTCCAGGCAGGAGCCTGAGCATGGGTCAGACCCATGTGGGGCAGGGGACCAGTCCTGTGTGGAGGAAATAAGGGGGCTGCAGCCTCCTTTGAAGGACATTGCAACAAGCCCTGCAGGTCCCAAGGGCAAGGGTAGACCCCAGGGCCCCCAGGCTCCCTCTCTACCCCATCAGCCCCTATGGGTCACCCACCTCGGACTCGCACACTGAGGGCTTCCTCGCCATCCTGTCCAGCAGCTCGTCCTCAGCACAGCTGGACCCTGGTCAAGGAGCACAGAAACGCCATGCCCAGCCACGCTCTACCCTCTCCTTGGCTCCTGCTCCTCCATGGGCCGCTCTGCCCACCCACCTGGCCCCAGCCCTCCCCTGCGCCCCAGCTCCGTGCGCTCCCAAGCTGTGCTGGGCTGTGCCCGCAGGATACAGCTCCATGACCATGATGACAGCATTTTTCTTCTCAAAGGCATCGTGGAAGAAAACAATGCGCTCGTGGTCAAGCTGTGAGAGGATATGCAGCTCCCGGCGTGCTGACTGCTTGGCCTTGGTCCTCCCGGGGACAAACTTGGCAGCAAAGTCCAGCCGGCTGCTCTTCTCTGTCACCCTCCGTAGGTATGAGAAGGCCCCCCTACAATGCAGCGATGGGGGGGCAATGAGGGGGCCATGGAGAATAAGAAGGTTGGTGGAGAGGCTTGGAAAGAGCCTAACAAGAGGCCAGGAGTCCTCCCCATTCCCACGGCAGCCTGGGCAGCTGCCCGCTCGGCAGGTTGCTGCACGCACCCCTGACAGCCCTCCAGGACCATCTTCCAGGAGATCCTAGATCTGACTTCTCCACAACGGTCCCCACTCCCCAGCTTACACTGCTGCCCACAAATGGCCACAGCTGCTCCTGCATAAGGATCCAGTCTACCAGGGCCAAGGAGTTCAGTCCCTGGAATCACAGCCCCACGATGCAGCCAGGCTCTAGCATCCCTGCCACATCCCCATGGCCTCGTACCTGCCGATCTCCTCATGCACATCGTAGTAGTCAGTCAGGCGTCGTGCCTTGTGCAGAGCATCCTCCTCCATGGCAGCATCAGCAGCGGGCTGGGCTGAGGGAAGGAAAAGCACTGGCAGGGGCGAAGCGAGGTACCAAGGGACCTGCCCAGCAGGGCCAGGGCACAGGAGAAGGTGCCACAGGGCTGGTCCAGCCATACCTGTGCGTACCACGAGCTCGGCCTTGCAGGACACCTCCCCAGCGAGGTTCCTGGCCGTGCAGGTGTAGACCCCACTGTCGGGCTCAGCAGCACCCAGCACCACCAGGGAGCACTCGTTGTCCTCGTACACAAAGCTCAGGTGGCTGCTCTCCTCCAGCAGCTCCCCGTCCTGGGGGTGACAGTGGATTCAGGGGAGCTCCATGCCATCCTCAAGCAGTTCCTAATGC